TTCACCGATTATTGACAATGTTCAATCAACATAATGTGACTCTCAATACTCCCTAATGTAGCAGAGGTCATTGCTTTAAACACCGGGTCACAAGTCGTGTCGCCCGGGGTCACAGACAATGCTCGTGGCGGCTGTGCACAGTACGCTCTACATGTTGAACTGTGGTTGGAAAGCAGCCCCATTATATTCCCTATACTTGATGGCAAGTCGTTAGATGGTCGTATTTTGTCCACGAACTTCAGCCGAAATCAGCGCGGCTCTTCCACGCGCCATTTTAAGCCTCGACAATATGCACAGATAATGAACCTTTTTACCAAGGACGTTTGCCTAGAGAAAAAGTACGAGGCAATTGTGTCTAAATGCGCTCATTTAGGAAATTAACTTTTTACATTCGAAAGTCGAGTGAGTTAGAGCCTCTCAAAAATGCGCGGAGGAGTACTATGTATAGTCGACATGGACACTTACGCACGTAAGTTTGTGCACAAAGGGCGTACGAGCCTGCGCGTGAAACGTAACGTATAAGGGCTGGTCTAGGAGATCAACAGTGCACGCGGGCGTCAATGTGCACGCGGGTTTATGTCATGTACGCTACAAGTATGGCTGTATCGCCCGCTGCCAAACTTACACTTGGAGTATTAACCCCATTGGAACTCTTAAAATGTCCCTTCTGCACCCTGTCTGTAATTCTATCATATTGTCGATCTAAAAAAAATCGCAAACCTTGAAATAATTGCTGGAAAATTGTAAAGAAAAAATGCCTTTGTAGACCAACCGTTACTTGTTCGACCATGTTTAGTCTTGGCTTTATCATAGGTTGTCGGGCCGAGTAACTATGATCAGAACTATAATTCGCTTCAAAATCCACAAGCCTACGGCTGTAATAGATAGAGCCAAATCCATATCTTCAACAACAAGAATTGCAATAAACCAAAGAATTTTCTTATGTATGACTGGTACCCTTTTCATGATGGTGTACGGTTGAGCCGCACAGCGCAGCCCGTAGGGCCTGCGCGTAAACTCACAACGGGCAGTTATCGTGGCATCTTTTCTACCGGTAATATGAAGGGAAAAGTTGTGGCACAAAAATCTATATATAAATTAAACTTTGTTCAAGCTGTTTTGCGATTTTCTGGTTTTCCCTCGCAAAACACCATGGCTTATCAAAAACTGAATGTAAAAAATTGACGGAGGTAAAACGAATTCTTATCATTTCAGGGCTAAGATGAAGAAAAAAAGTAACCATTTTTCCGGAAAACATCAAAGGTGTACAACAAGAGATTCTGAAATTATCGCAAAAGAATTTTGGAAAATGGATGCGTTTTCTTTATATAGAAAAGGCACGTTCAGTGTTTCGCATTTAAAAATCCTGTTTTTTGACCTAACATGTTCATGTTTATTTATTGTTATGTTTATTTATTATGGATTTATTTTCCACAGCCCCATTGTTTTGTTTGTTTGCATTCACTTTAAAGGCTGGTTATTTTGAGGAGAAACAAAATAGAAATGTGAACCCGTTACATTGCCGACCATCCAAAACTGGATGACCCATGGCCAGTAATTGACCTAATTTGAGACCGCATGATTTAGACAGATCTCAGAATACATACATGGCTCCCAGAGGTAGTAAAGATCTTATTAGAATTTAAAACCTACTCCCGATCAACACCACTGTACTGCTTGCTCCCCTTGAATTATTCTCAACAGTGCTTTGAGTTAAGATGAACCATTCTAGCCGTTAGGTAGCAAATTTCGTGTTTGTTTCAGTCACTGCGTTCAGAACTGATGTTGTAGGGTTTCCAGAATACGTCTTGAAGAAAAGACGCGGAGTACTGTGCAAAGAGCAATGCATCGCCCAGAAAGGGAAGAACATAGAATAAATAATGCAGACTAAGTCCGACCACCTAATGACACTGCAAACCTATTATTCCCGGCAGATCATGTCGTCTTAAGACGCCTTTCCATATATGCGTCAACCCTTGCGCCAAGGTTGCGTATTCATCGAAATCGCTCCCAGGGCGATTTTGACAGTCGAACGCCACGCATACGTGTGTTATGTTAATGGAGTCGATTTTGGTTTCTGTGAAAAAGAAACGCATGGACGCATAGTGTGCGCAACGCACCCAAAAACGTACACATGGAAAGGTGCCTTAATTCTGCTTTCACGATTTTTGTTTCAATTTGACTTTTTTTTCTTTTTCTTGCAGTAACCTGAGTCCCAAGTATTACACCACAGTTCGAATCCACACCGGAGTTCTGCCGGACGGACTTGACTCCAAGGAGTTCCTGCTCAAGCGGTCGGTGTTCCTGGATTACCGCGCACACCAGAAGGACCCCAACGCGCCTATCCAGCGGGAGGTGAAGCTGTGGGAAAATTTACCGGCGAGTAGCGTGGAGGGAGATGATAGAAATCAGTAAGTCCCGTGGCGAACCAAGTAACAAACAGCACGATCCTGGGGCACAGTGATCTAGGCCTAAGTCTCGACTTTGTCACAAACACTTGAACATGCACGATATATGCGTATACATGTACGTTTACAGTGATACACAGGTACTGCAAAACAGTCGACTTTACATTCATGGATATCATGATAGGAGCCAACTAAGATAACCTCCCCAAAAATGTGGTCGGGGATATGAGAGGCCCTTCCATCGCAGCTAGTGAATGTGTACAAGTTTGCATATGTGATTAGCAAGGCTAGACCATGCAAGTGTGCCGATTTCGGTACCCTTTACACCGGTCTAGTTTGTTCACTCATCTGTGTCAATAACATCACAAGCTGTATACCATTGCAAAGAGGGCATTATGCCAGAGATATATTTCTCTTTCCCATATATATAAAGTAGTTTTGCTATTACAGTAATCTTGATCTCGGTATACTTTTTATGTGGACACACTGTAGATTGGACAAGTTTAGCATATGGCGCCACGGTTCGATGTGTTAGTGTTGTAATGAACTATTCCTCAGGTCAATAAGCTCGCATTCAAATCTAATGTCCAGGCCAGGCCAGTAGCTCAATCCACTTATTGCCGTTCGGTTTGCACTGGGACTTGTTCCATGATTTGAGATTTCAGTACAGGTCGGGATTGCGTAAAGAAGTGTTTCTTCGATTTTTTCACAAGAGGAATTGATGAACAGGTTTTTTTTTCACGTAAGTCACGTTTTTGTTCCTTGCTAAAAGGTTTCATACTGCAATGTATTCAAATTCTGCGATTTCGTTTACCTGAGTTTTGAAGGTAGGGGTGCTTGACATACATCTGAAATAATAAGTTTGAGTTTTGCGTTTGTGTTTTGTTCATACCATCATGTAAGCCCATAATACTGGCAAAACGCCATACAGTTTAACCATGGGCTTTATTTAGTTGTTTGATACATTATTAATAAATTGTCGGTTTATCAACTGAAAACCAGTTTAACTAACTTTAGCTGATTCGGGCGTTTTGGTGCATTTTATTAATTCAAATTTGCTCACTTCATGTACGGCAACGCCCGGCATTTCAAAGTACATTGCATGGTCAGAAGTTATTTTGTGTTTCGATCTTTTTATCGTATATACTTGTAATTGTGTATAGATAAGCAAACATGCTTACAGTGACAATTACACATAAACGAATCAGTTTTGCGAATGCGTAACTCAATGCACATGTGACAACAGGCATTATGCGTCTAGTCTTTGGAAAAATGTAACCCTGAATGCTGCTTGGAGTTAATAATTTGAGGCAAATTAACGTCATCTTTATTTTTACGAGGACATGCATGATTATATTAACTCTGAATGCAGACAAATGCATGGTTATGAATGATCACGATAAAATGTACATCTTTCCTCATGAACTTTGCATGACATTAACCAACGCTGATTGTATTTTTGTAAAGTAAAATGCAAATCGAAAATAAAGGTTGTGGTCTAATTTTAGCTATGCTTCGTTGATCAACGGGTTGGTTATTATTCAGAGACTTTTCCTCATCCATGTCACCATGGACTTATTTTTACAACAGAGTGCAGTGGCTTATAGGGGGGTGGCGGCTTGGGGCGCTTTACGTGCTTTAGCACGCTGTCACCAATTGGTTGGGAGTACCAGACTCTGATATCAAGAACGTCAGCTGCGGGAATAGGCTTGCAATACACGCTCCTGGAGAGTGTGGGGGTTATTTTTCTCCCGATAATGAGGTTGATAATAGTGGCGGACCCCATTTTGTAGCGACCTTTTTTCCTATCAATCAAAACGAAACTGAGCTAGCTATGTTTGCCCGTCACAGATACAGCAAAACTGGATTCCAAGAAAGTATTCAAGCAACTATGGTGTATTAAACATCATAACTTTTAATCTCCTGTCGTTCAAACACTTGTACCTTTTGACTGCCAGTAGAATCGTCACCCCTATCAATCCTTGAAATAGCTTTGCATACTAGACTATAGCCATTAATATAAAATGGCAAAATGAACAACATTTACGCTAAAAGCGGCATACGGTTAAATTCGTACTCGCTCTCCAACACAAACGCTGTCGCTGTCAAAATATGAGTCAAGGTATTCTGTAACAACGATTGGTTAAGAGTAAACACAGGCTTGGCAAGAATTCAGGTTAATGGAAATAGCGTGAGCGCAACCAGTAATAGAGAAAGCAGAAAGGGTAACGACCGAAAGTGTTGTCGAGGTAAAACTCTGCCAAATTCTTTTGTTCAAACTTCGCCAGAGACGTCACGCCATTATAAACAAAGAGAACCCAACGACATAAAGTGAATGGAATGCTAAATGTTTGAGTAAAATTATGTACAGACGTTGATTTGGTGTTTTGGTCCTTTGACTAAAAATTAAGCTTACAGTACTGTTACGTTTGTCATTTTGGCATACAAGGATATTAGAAGCCGCTCGTACAAAAGACCATTATAAAAGTTCAGATTTTGGGCTTTCCTCAAAAACAGCAGTTACAGCATTCAGTATGAAAAAACGCTGATCTTGTCTTACGGCATCATCTCTGGAGGCAGCAGGTAATCGGTGTGTGGACCGTCGATGAGACCGTGGGCATTATCTTTCACGTACCAGCAAGGCTGCTTACGACCCACCAGATTGTTCAGCCGGGATCGCTGGACCACATCCACCCGTCGGTCCATGACAGTGAGCTCCGCCACCACGCCGTCCTTCGGCTCGCTCTGCGGCTTGACCTGGATCTGCCTACGCTGGAATTGCCCTGAAATGGTTCCAAAGTGCAGAGAGCATATTTCGTTTCTTTCTCCATGGGGGGAGTCAAATAATTTTTTTCTGTTGTATTGCTTGACTTCGGGGCAAATAGGGGTTAGTCACACTCTTTCAAAGTTCGGGAAGTCATAATTTCCGTTCATGTCTACACAATTATGGTTTCCGTTCGCATATTTTTCGGGGGGGGGTTAACAGAATACTTGGCTTACCGATCAGTCCATGGACCTCCCCACTAAAGCCTTCGTGGTTGACAATGTAGAAGCCCAAATGGTCCACTTTGAACGCAATGTCTGGGTTCATACGGTGTAGCATGATAGCTAGGCTTATAGCCCCGTCATTCCTGGTAAGCACGGCTTCTTTGTTGTGGACAGCCAATGACCAGTTACCTGAGTAAGTACACCATTGAAAAAATGATGATGAATTGTGATTATTTATACCATCGTTTACAGAAACAAGAAAACAGTATGCAATAGACTTTGACTTGTGGTCTGTCTCCAAGGCACCTGCGTTATATCAAAGTGCGACAAGTGGCAAAGGGAAAACTGATGGAAGTTTTAACCATAGCAGAAAGGACACAAGGGGAGAGGAGAATAGATTTCAACGAAATTAATGAATGTCAAGGTCTGATGAAATTTTCACCTCTTTCAACCATGACGGAATTTTTCCAGGACAGCACCATGTTTCCGTCCAAGGTGACATCCTTCGTGGAGAGTTTGACAGTGTGCCGTCCGAGACGTATCCCGATGCGGCCGAAGTACGTGCGGGTGCGGTCGGTGCCCGGGACAGGTTCGGGTGCTGCCACTATAAAGCCCGTCACCTGAATACCTGTGACGGTCATTGAAAAAAAAAGGTGCGTGCATTTACTTGACAGGTTCCCAATGTATTTTGGGCCTTAACGCCGCCCAGCCATTCGGAAACCATGCTGAGGAAGTATAAGCTGATATCTGGAAAATGATATCAATGTCCACGCATACAATGCAAAGTCTACAGCTTCCAATATTACTACCAAAATTACCTATTAAGAAGAGAGTTTAGCCATACTTTGGATTACATTGAAACACAAAATTTGACAGAGGAAACAGAGAACTGTCAAACATTAAACCGCATTCTTTAGTCTAGTTCAAATGTGTTTGGTGAAAAGTGCAAGAAATTATCAGAATGACGACAGGAAACTCGCGCGTTTGGCTATGCGCTCATGTTAATCGCTCACATAGGGATCATGTAAACAACTGGATTCGGCTTAGACTTCAGTCTCGCTGGTTCCACCCGTTTTGAAGCTGCGTTCGAAACCGCATATTCAAACTCTGACGGGAACCAGCGAAACTGAACCCTAAGCCGAATCTAGTCTCTTCGAAAACGCCCATGGATCTCAGTTATAGCTCAAAATACGGGCGTTTCACAATAGTGCGCCACCAAGAACTTGCAAGGTCTCCTGGAGATCAATGATCGACCCTTTTCAAACGCGCATTTCGTACATTGGCCACCACGTTGCAAACTCTTGGCGGCGCACTACTGTGAAACGCCCATATTGCTCTGTGTTTGGTGCTTGTACCAACGACAAAAGAGTAAAAACTGGCAGGATGAGTAAATTCATTTACCCAATTGTGCATCCGTCAGGAGATTGAACACTTCGCCAGCTTGGCCCAAGATGTCGAAACATACGGTGACGTCACTCGTCGGGACATGCACCACGAAATGAGGGTCACTATCCGCTGGGGAATGCCAGAAAATGAAGGCCGATTTTTCAAAAATGAGAAATTAGCAAAGTGCAAGCACGCAATTAATTGGAAAGAAATGGCAATACAACCCGGCATCTGAAAAAAATTAATATTAATTTGAGTTTCACAGTGATGCAGAGTATACCTTAGAGATAACCGGTTTCGTCATTTTGTCTGGTTCGAGAGAAATGATACCCCCCAACAAAGAGAAAGCATCAACAACTAAAACAAGACAAAGACGACCAAATTCTGAAAAAGAAACCAAATAAGAGATCCCTTGAACAAAACAGCTGCTGCGTACATCAGGTATGTTCTTCAAACTTGATATTGGCTGAAACCATACCAAAATGGATGATCTCTCCGAGTGGCTTTGAATGCCCGATGTACGTCCACTTTTTGTATGTACACCCATTCTGTGACGAGCTTGAAAAAGTGATATCTATCTCGATGAGGAAAAATGATGAGATGAATGGTTATCTTACCATATCCTCCGCCACCACCTCCGGACCTTTGGCTGCCTGCAGGAGAATGGCCTTGTCTACTAGCGCTTCCTCCTTTGGAAGTGTGAAAGAGAAACAGGCAAAATTTATCGTTCAAAAATCAGGGTTTTATGATGATGACTTCTCAGAAATATGGCTGAATCTTCTCAAAAGTGGAGGGTAAGGGTTGGTTTTAAGAACTGGTACGCTGACAAGAAGATATTGGATTATTATGAATCGACAGCGATTTTTAAGTTCACACATAATTATACAAGCTCAGGCTACAACAATCATACACAGTGTAATTCGACAACCAGAATCAGATATCATTACTGCGGTGACACAACGCTCAAGGACAGGTGGTGCGCGCGCGTTAAATGCCTCTATGACCAATAGGGGTGACGTG